AGCGTGGCTGTCACGGACTCTCATGCATGGCTGAGGTGCTGTGTTACAGGGCGTACCACCAGCAGCACGGCTGCACCTTCACCGCCGTCATCCCCACCAACGTCTTTGGGCCAAACGACAACTTCAACATGGAGGACGGCCACGTGCTGCCCGGCCTCATCCACAAGGTCCATCTGGCCAAGAGTTGAGTTCCTCCTTTCTGCTCCGTAACGTGAATCGCAACTCCCAGAAGTTTCCATGTTACTCCTTGAGCCAGCAAGTCCCAGGGAGGCTCTTCTGTTGAGATACAGAAATACAGTCACGACCGAAGCTCACCGGACATTATGGCAAGGATTGAGCTCCCGGCTACAGCTCAGCCCCCCCTGTTGGTTGGGATGGGTATTGTAGGATTTCTGACCTGAGGAGTGGGATCTCCCTTCATACAGAGGAAGTGGAGATACAGGATCACAGAGCTCACTTGAGCACCTGGTCACCAGGCTCAGGCCAGGCTTGCCCTGCCGGACTGGAGCTGCTCGGGTGGTGGTGAAGACATGGTTCACCAGCTCACTCACCAATAACAAAAGGGGCATCGTGATTCCCAGAGCCAGGGGGCGATGATCTATTTATATGTTTGGAGTCTGTTTGGTGCCCACCCAAGCAATGTGAATGGCTTTGGGATGTTCTCCTGATGTGAAAGTCACTGTATAAATGTCAATGTTATTATATGGCATCTAATAGTATATCGATCCCATTTATTTCTCTTTCCCCCAGAGAACAACACTCCTCTGGTTATCTGGGGCACAGGGACTCCCAGGAGGCAGTTTATATACTCTCTGGTAGGTTACGTTTTATCGTAAATATGAGTGTGTGACTGCGTTGTGTCTGTGAGTGTGTTGTGTCTGTGTGTATGTTTGAGTCCTGTAGCTCAGTGGTTAGAGCACTCGCTTTGCAAGTGAGAGACCTGAGTTCAATCCCAGGCAGAGGGCGAAACCTTGGGCAAGTTTCCTTACTCCACACAGAGCCTAATAATAATCCCTCCAAAACAAAAACAATAATAAATTGGTCATTTTCAATCCCTGACTGTTTGTGGGACATTGCTGTGCGCAATTGGCTGCCGCGTTCGCCCACAAATATACAGTCAATTCACTTTACAGTCTATTCTGTGAAGCGCTTTGGGACGTCCTCCCGACGTGAAAAGCGCTACATCAAATGCAAGGATTATTATTATTATTATTATTATGTGTGTGCCTGCCTGTATGTGTGTGAGGGTGTGTGACAGCCTATCACCCTCACTCACCTCACTGGCTTACAGTTTAAGATTCTTGATTTCACGTTCCTTCCACCTCATCGCCTCCCATCCCCACTTAAAGACCCACCTCGACACCTAGATTTACAACCACGCTTTCACTCACCTTTCCTTCTTCGGCTTTCTCAGCTCTCCCAATTTCTCCCTCGCCCCTGACCCCAGAGCCTAACTCTAGGATGCACTTTTGCGATGTCCTCCCAAAGTAAAAGGGGATGCATAATAAAAACAATAAGAAGAACTAGAGTTGGAATATTTTTGTGTGATCTGATCGGCTGTGATTAACCTCTGACTCCCCAGGACTTGGCCCGTCTCTTCATCTGGGTTCTGAGAGAATATAATGAAGTTGAGCCCATCATCCTGTCAGGTGAGCGAACGCTTTATATTTTAGGGGGGTTGGGAGGGGTGGGGGGGGGCTGGGGCAGCTAATACAGAGAAGAAGGCTCGCTCTTGCTCAGGGAGTAAATGCACTGAATGGAGGGGACTTGAGCCACATAGAGACGGGATAATCCCAGGATTTATCCCGGCCTGTGCTGGATCAGCTGACCTGAGCCGGGAAAGGTTATAGCCTGGAGTAGCTTCCAGTGGTCTGTGTGGTCAATGTGTGGTCCATCGTCACCATAGCTGGAGCCAGACTGTTTGTGGTGCTGTCTGTCCTTCACACTATCTAACCCTGATCTGTGAGTGAGTGAGGGAGGGAGGGAGGGAGCAGATACAGGGAGTTGTATTCTGTCTCTATCCTGTGCTGTCTCTGACCTGGGAGTCTGGACGGACAGTGCAGAGGGAGTTACTGTCACGTGCTCCCCCTTGGTGACATCATCCGCAGACATGGGGTAAATTTCCACATGTACCCGGATGACACCCAACTCTATCTCTCAGTCTCACCCTGAACTCTAGGACTACTGGCATCCTGACTGACTGCCTGTCCAACATCAAGTCCTGAACGAGGGATAACTTTCTCCAGCTGAACGTCAGCAAGACCGAGGCCCTCCTGATTGGCTCGCGCCAGCGCCTCCGCACCTCGGGCGCTGGCAGCATCAGCCTCCACGGCTGCACACTCAACCTCACTAAGCCAGTCAGGAACCTGGGTGTCTTGTTCGACCCTGAACTGTCCGTTTCTCCCCCACATCCGCAACATGACTGGCATTGCCTATCACCACCTCCGCAACATTGCCAGACTCCGCCACTGCCTCACCCCTCAGGCTGCTGAAACCCTCACCCACGCATTCGTCACGTCAAGGCTCGACTATGGGAACTCCCTCCTCATCGGCCTTCCGAACTCTTCCCTTCACAAGCTGCAGATCATCCAAAGCTCTGCAGCTTGTGCACCAGGCTTCGTGACTCCATCACTCCCACCCTCGTCCGACTCCACTGGCTCCCCATCTCCCCAGTTCAAGATCCTCGTCCTCACTTTCAAGGCCATCCATGGCCTTGCCCCCTCCTACCTCTCTGACCTGCTGACTCCCTACCAATCCGCCCACTCCCTCTGTTCAGCGGGCTTTGGCCTGTCCATGTCTCCCGCCTGACCCTCCCTACCATTGGTGGCCGGGATTTCAGTCTCTCTGCCCCCACACTATGGAACTCCATCCCACAGTCCCTTCGCCTCACTTCCTCCCTTGCCTGCTTCAAGGCCGGTCTCAAGACCCTTCTCTTCGATCGTGCCTTTGGTCGCTCTCTGCCTCCCCTCACCCCTACACCACCACCCCCACCACCCCATGCTCAGGCCCCAACACCAGACTGTTCAGTGCTTTGAGACATCCTCCTGACTTGAAAGGTGCTCTATAAATGTAATTTTGTTGTTGTTCTTGTCCAAACTCTTGCTGTGGCTGACCTGGTGTGTGCTTCATTCTGTGTGTTTCCCCCTTGTCTCAGTGGGTGAAGAGGATGAAGTTTCTATCAAGGAGGCGGCTGAGAGCATTGTGTCGGCCATGGATTTCAAGGGCAAGTTTGTTGTATCCTTTAACACATGGAACCACCTGGTATTAGGATCATCGCCGGTCGCCAGGGGGACGCCCAGTTTGTGGTGAAGTTCCTGTATTGGTAGCCAGGTGTTGGGAATGCTAAGGTTTTTCCGGGAGCTCTGCATGGATTCTGCGGACGGCACAAGTGGAATCAACGACAGCAACTTGCATTTATATAGTGCTCTTAAAGACCTCAGCAGACGAGCCCCGTGGTCTGGTTTGCTCAGCTCTGATGGGGTGACTCTGACATGTGGGGAGGGAGAGAGGGTTAACATCTCAGACTGGTTTATCTTTGATCACAAGCGCCCAGTTTGACACCAGTAAATCTGACGGTCAGTTCAAGAAGACAGCCAGCAACAGCAAGCTGAGGAAGTACCTGCCTGACTTCAAATTCACCCCCTTCAGCCAAGGTAAGCGTCAGCCGTCAATAAACAAAAGGTTTCTTGCATTTGCAACTAGTCAGTGTCTCCAGAGAACACATTCATTTGGAGGCCCATAGCATAGTGGTTAGAGCACTCAACTTTTAAGCGAGAGTGCGACCCTGGATCGATTCCCGGGCAGAGTGAAACCTTAGGCAAGTTTCATTACTACACCTGCCGCTGTTTACCTTGCAGTAAGTAGGGTCCGGTTGTTAGTCGATTGCCAGATCACTTTCCAGTGCAATAATCTCTCCCAAAAAATAATTTGGTCACTCAATCCATGACTGTTTGCGGGACACTGCTGTGCAAATTGGCTGCTGCGTTTCACCCATAAAATACATAGTCAATGAACTTTACAATGTCCTTTGTGAAGCGCTTTGAGATGTCTCTATGACGTGATAAGGCGCTATATCAAATGCAAGAATTATTATATATGTAGTGTATTACTTGCTGTGAATGTCACCTCCCCATTGTCTTGAGCTCCCACCCCATCCCTCTAAATCTCTCTCGGGGCAGGTTTGAAAACTACGACCCTGCTTTTGTATTTCTTTTACCTGCTGTGATTTCTCCTTCAGCGATCGAGGAAACGTGCAATTGGTTTGTCGCCAATTACGAATCCGCGAGGAAATGAGAATGAACAATGGGGATATGACGCTGGCTGATCTGGGCTCAAGAGAAACAAAGTGGAGCTTAGAGGCCAACAGCTGATCTTCCGGTTTGCTAATCAGTTTTCCTAAATTCCGGGGGTGATGGACAGCAAAACTCGCTGGACCGACTGGCCTTGATCTAGACTTTGCCAGCGAACGGGAAAATCCTGGTGAATCTTCCCAAAGTGGGTGGCAGATCTGCTCTGCTGATATTTCAGAGTAGCTGAATGCACACGGTGTAATAATAATAAATAATCGTTGTATTTTATCAGTGCTTTTGTGTACACAGTCCACACTGTCAATACTGAGACAGACAGTTAATACTGGGGAGTGTGTATACAGGACACTGACACCATGAATACTGGAGCATTGACACTGCAATGCCAGGAGTGTTTCCACAGGCAGTGTAAGATTCTGACCTACCTCTCTGTTGACCAGATGGCTAAACTAACCATTTTGTTTGTGGTGAAGCCAAGTGACAAATCAGGGATTTTTATTTGAAGATTTTGCAGCGTGTTGAATCAGAGAATCTTGTGGTGGGGGGGGGGGGGTGCGGAGGCTGGTGACAAGTGACACGGTGATTTTTAATGAGACTTAGAGAGAAAAAAATAAACATTAACAAACGGTTTGACGTGTGTTGGTTAAGTGTGAGGAGAGGGGAGAAGAATCGGGCTTTCACTGTGGATTGGGTGGGGTTGGGGGATGGATTATGTTTTCTGCTCTGAGCTGAGGGGCTTCTCCCAGTGACTGGTTCCCTCGTCTAGGGATTAGGGGGCTTCTCCCAGCTATATCATTCCCTGCTCTGGGGTTAGGTGTTTGCTCCCCACAACTCCGAATAGCAGGTATTATGGTTTTCTCAGCCAGCTTTGTTCTAGTTGGAACAGAAACCCCAACACACAGTGTGATAACAACAGTCATTTACATTTATAAAGCGCCTTTCACATCTCTCCAGTGCGATAGAGCCCAGAAACCAGCCTATGTAGTCACACACCCAGTTCAGAGATAATAATAATCCTTGCATTTGATACAGCGCCTTATCACGTCTTCGAGATGTCTCAAAACGCTTCACAGGATATACTGTGAAGTGTAGTGACTGTGTGTTTTGTGGGAGAAAGGCAGAGCCAATTGCGCACAGCGGTGTCCCACAAACTGTCGTGGATAGATCATGGCTCGAGGGATACTGGCTCGTTCTGTGCCACAACAACTTGCATTTATACAGCCTCCTCACACATGGTAGCATCCCAACATGCTGGACAGTGACGGAGAACGACGTCGAGCTGGGATGGGGGGGGAGGTGAGCGTAGGCACGGACTTTACTGATGATCCCGCCTTTACTGACATGATCATTGAGATGCGGGGAAGGGGTGGGGGGCAAGACAGGACTTCTCTGTGATAAATATAAATTTTAACTCTTGAGTTATTTACCTAAAGCCCTCCACTGCCTCGCTCCTCCCTACCTCTGTGACCTGCTATCGCTCCCTCCGCTCAGCAGGCTCTGGTCCTCCACCAACACCTTCAATAATGGGGAGCGTGTACACGGGACACTGACACCATCAATATTTGTGCACTGAGACTCAATGCTGGGAGTGTTTCCACAGGGCAGTATAAGCTTCTGACCTACCTCTCTGTCGATGACGGCTAAACTGATTTATTTTGCTTGTGGAGGGTGACAAATCGGGGATTTTTACTTGAAGTTTTTGGAGCAAAAATATAGTTTTTCCCTTGCAGACACCCACCCAGCCACCTGGCTTTCATTCGGTCAAAGCATCAGGTGCTTCCAGCTTGCATTTATATAAGCGCTCTTCATGCAGGATAGGATCCAGGAGCACTTAACAGCGGTAGAGCCGGATGCTGAGCCCGGTGGGGAGGTGGCCTTAGGCACAGTCGAAGAGGAAGATGGTTTGAAAACAGGGAAGGAGAAGGCAAGGTGCAGAGATTGAGGGAGAGAGTTCCTAAGTCATGGCTGAAAGCACATCCTCCACCAATGCAAGTGTCAGATCACCTATTTAGTAATCAAGTGTGAATTCTGTTCTTACCCCCCTCTCTCTCTCTCTCTCTCTCTCTGATGGTCAATGAGTCAACCCGTGAGTACATTGGAACCAGGTTTCTCTACAGCCCAGTCAACTGATCCCATTTAGGAGATAAAACTGCAAAAAGAAAAGATGACAGTCACTAAAAGTTTGAAACCAACTTCCATAAATACAGCTATAAATAAATAGCACTAATTTTCAGGCGATTTTTTTTCTCTCTCTCCTGCAGCACTCTCTCCCCTTCCTCCCCAACCCTCTCCCCTGACCCCAATGTCAGCGGAGACTATGAGATCAGAGTCCCAACCCACAACCTTCTAACTCAAAGCGGTGAGAGAGTGCTACTGATGGAGCCAAGCAACCACTCTGATATCACGGGAATCAATATTATCACCAATCCATTCTATATTTCTGCAACCAACCACAGTGCACCGCGGTCCCAGCCGTTTACAACAACAACACAAGATTCCATTTATTGAGCGCTTTTCACGTCGGGAGGACGTCCCAAGGCGCTGTACAGTTGGGTCAAGACCCGAGCAGGGGGGAAATGGTCAGGTGAGGGGAGGGAAGGGAGGGAGCGAGGAGGGGGTAGAGAGTCGAGAGGGGAGCTGAAGGCACGGTCAAAGAGAAGGGTCTTGAGACCGGCCTTGAAGGAGGAAGGGAGGAAGTGAGGCGAAGGGACTGTGGGATGGAGTTCCAGAGTGAAAGGCTGAAAGCTCGGCCACCACTGGTAGGGTGGGTCAGGCGGGAGACATGGAGCATGGAGCAGGCCGGAGCCTGATGAACGGAGGGAGCGGGCAGGTTGGTAGGGAGTCAGCAGGTCAGAGAGGTAGGAGGGGGCAAGGCCATGGATGGCCTTGAAAGTGAGGACAAGGATCTTGAACTTGATCCTCTGGGGGATGGGGAGCCAGTGGAATCGGGCGAGGGTGGGAGTGATGGGGTCACGGAGTCTGGTGCGAGAGAGCACACGAGCTGCAGAGTTTTGTATGATCTGCAGCTTGTGAGGGGAAGAGTTGGGAAGGCCGATGAGGAGGGAGTTCCCGTAATCGAGCCTTGAGGTGACGAAGGCGTGGGTGAGGGTTTCGGTGAGGGGTGAGGCAGTGGCGGAGTCTGGTAATGTTGCAGAGGTGATGGAGAAAGGACAGTTCAGGGTCAAACAAGACATAATGCTTGCGTATCCACGTTCAGTTCACCACGATTTAAGTTGATCTAACCAGATGCTGCAGAAGAGAGAGAGGAATAAATACGTCCATCCAAAGGTATCCAAGTATTGTAGTACGTTTTTCAGTTTGATCACCCAAAAGTATCCAGGTATTATTGTCTGTTCAATTCAATCACTCGAAGATATCCAGGTATCAATTTGATCCCTCTCCAATTCTTCTGATTGTCTTCCGAATCGATCTCCGTTTATACCAATGATTAGGAGACCTTTCACGTATTGCCTTTTGGAAGATGGTTCCGTTGTAAAAACAAATGCAACATTGTTCTCTCCAGCAACAGACCGTTTATCCATGAGAAAATGACTGATAAGGAATGAAAATGAATGATAAAGTCTTTTGTTTCTCCTCCTTGATCTTGTTCCGGGCTAGTCACAGCGAGCTCCACTCATGTGATCATATGTTTCAAATATATAACTCGCAAATATTATTTAACACATTAATTACATAATCCTACAGTCCTATCTGGTGGGTTAAGATTACAAATGTAGCCTTATTACTATAATTAATGTAAAATCGGTACCAATCTGCTCCATCTCTCTCACCACATTCGATCTTCAACCTATTTTTTAAACTGTATGATTCTTAAGTGTTCATAAAAATATGTTCATAAGTTTGTTTTACCCGACACATAATCCAACAATTACAGTAAATCATTATTGATAATTATATAAATAAAAATAAACTAACAAGATCAGACCCACCACTGTCCTCTTTTTAACACATCAATTACATAAACATATAAAGACAGCCCTCACTTTGTTTACTTGCTTTTGCAATTTTTTATCGCTAGAAGCTCGCGCTATATCCTGTACTGAAGTCTTTTACACAATTTAAAAGGGGTAATACCTTGTGCTCAGGTATTCTCATGGACCGTTCAGTCACAACTTCCTGTGGGGAAAAACTTTTAATTAGAAGTATTGTGACTGTTTAGATTGTTCTTTTCAAAGAATAGTTAGTGAGCCTCTTGAGTCAACCAATAATCTGTGGAGTGGTCTCAAACCCATGCTGTGACTGTTGGCCTTCCCTAAATATTCATTCAAAGAGTCACAACACGACAGACCTAGGAAACTCATTGCGATCCGGGGATAGGCCCTGGTGGCCATCGGGTGCTTTAGTTCCCTGTTGTATTTTGGAGGCTGCATTTCTTTTAACAGTTTGCCACATGTGAGTCTGCTGCGGCGTCCTTGCCATTTACTGTGATCACCTTTATACTGTCCCTGAGGTGCGTCTTGATTCAACTTCCAGGGATTGTTAGCAAAATAGCCAGGTTTTTATCATTCTGATAGCCTCGGCCTCACCCTCTTGTTTCCAGATCAAAAGGAGGAGAGAAGGTCCACAGCCATTGTTCAGCCATTATGCATGGAACATAAATTTGGTGGATCAATTCATTGGGATTAATTTGTTTTTCCAATTTGTTCCTTACCTTTGGGTTGGCTCGTGGCCACCACCTTTTCATCAAAATTAAAATTCCCCAAATATACAAAAGAGCCTTGAAATCAACGTTGTCAAGTAGCTCACGTTCATAACCTGCCAAAAACACAAAGTACAACTGCAGCCACATCTCTGCTCGTCCCAAGCAGCCAGTGACCTTGAGCATGTTTTTTATTGATAAGGGGAGAGAAACAGGAGGCTCCCAAACAACCATGTCTCTCCTCCCTTTGAAGCACCTTGTTTCGCAAAATGAGGAACTTCATTTTAAGTGGTCACCAAAGTATTCCACGCAAAAGGCCACAGAGGTTTTCTGCTTGACAGTCTGTAAAGTATGTTGGATGGAACAGTGTCGAGAGACCAAGTTCCTGTGATCTACAGCTTTGTGCCGAGGGCTGTTATATTAGTTATACATTATTTTCGGTCTGTTTGTCATCAAGTCCTGGATGAGAGCCAACTTCCTCGAGCTCAATGTTGGCAAGACAGATGCTTGGCTCCCAACAGCACCTCCTCACCTCAGCCGCTGATATAATCATTATTCATGGCTTCACTCTTTATCTCATCTCACCAATTCAATGCCTCAGTGTCCTTT